TCTCTTTACTGTGCTGAGTGGGTCATTTTCTCCTGAAACATCCAAGAAGGGGCTCCGAGGATCTGATGCAGCAGAAGGAACAGCTCTGGGAATTAACTTTATTCCTGCTGCCCTTTTTATTACCATGTGCCCCAGGATGTACTTTCACTTGGATCTGTACTTCTAGGCTTCATTTCGCTGCAGAGCCTGTAACGTGGCACTCAGGAATAACACCAATGACATGGAAGACCTACTGCAGCAATGCTGCCAGGCACCGAGTGAGCAACGTCGCAGCAATCGGCTGTCTCACACTCAAAAAGCTACCACTATCCTAACTCCTCCTTCACTAAGAAGAAACTGGCAAGAAATCCCCAAAATAATCTTGAGAGGATCCCACCTTAGGCCTTGGAAGCCTTTTGTGGGATTTTCTGTACGAGGTTTCAACCTGACCTATTAAGTTTGCCCGGAAAGTTAATGACTTCAATAACATTGCCTGTTGCAAACTCCTGTGAGTGCATGTTGCTTGATTTGAGAGTCCATGATTCCAGGTGGTGAGTGGGGAAGTGCTGCACACAGGATTCTTTCGGTGAATATCAGTACAACTTGAAAAGAAAACACTCATTTTCAGTAAACACTATAGCCACAGACAGGTTTGAAAGGCTGCTACTAAACATGTTCTGGCAACAGAAAGTAGCTATTAAAAATATTTTCAATCAGAGGAACTGAAATGTGCTCTCTGTTGAAATGAGACAAGTATACAAATCACTGGGTTTAGGAGTTTTTAGGTTTTCTTACCCCGCCATAACATTCAGAGCCATTTTATTCACATTGTATTAATTTGAAAGGTTCAATCTGCCTTAATTCAGAGCAATTTTGATTTCAATTCTTTTTATTTTATCCTTTTTTATGTGCTATTCTTTTTGTTTTCTCTTTCTTTCATTTTTTTCCCCTCCTCTGAAGCCAGGTTACAGCAGCTCATCAAAAGGAAGTGGCCTGAATTTTATCTTACTGTTATTGTGATATAGCTGCAGTGGGCAATCTAATCTCATCAAGAAACAATTGCAGTAAAGATATCTAAGTGGATGTCACAGCTCTGCTGAAAGATAATAAAGTGAAATGAACCAAAAAAACAATCTTTCCAATACAAATCACATAGTTAAGTTGTAGTGATTTGCAAGCAGAACAGGAATGCAAGAGGAGGCAGATACAGTCAGAAATGCCCAACAAACACTTCCAAATTATTTTTAACACATTTGGTGAGTGCATAATTAAGGGATTTACAATATTAAAACCTGGAGCTGTTGTGCAGCACTACACTAAATAAGACAATCAGTAACAAGGGAAAGGGTGAATTAAACCACCTTCCACTGCAGTCTGAACTGCTGTCTCGTAAGATAAACACTATTGATTGCTTTTAAGCCTCCTCTCTATTAGAAAGGGACTTCTAATTTTGTGAAATCAATAATAAAAGATAGCAGAAAAACCCAGATTCTCTCACCATAAGCCTGCAAACAGGAAAGGGCAGAACCTCCCATTAAACTGGAAGATCATCCCTGATTTGCAGGGTGGAGGATTTGCCCCTTGGGCCGCATTCTTCTTCAGCTCTGAATCTGCATCAGCATTCACAAACTATTGTTTTAATTTCCTGACAGAACAAAAATGTCTTGCCACACGTGTTTTGACATCATTATTTTTCCCCCCCTTTTTAATGTCAACTCTGCCTTCAGCACGTGAAAACCAACTCCTTAAGTAGTTTAACAAATATCTTTTCTGTTCCAAAGCAAAGCTTTTGTTAGGGACCAAAATAGCATCAGCTTTCAAGCTGTGGGGTCCTTTCTACTTCCTTTGTCTATTTAACAGCAAAGGAATGGCATGGCAGTATTGAATTACCAATGCTGATGTGCTGGGAGGCTGCTTGGGTCTCTGCTTTCTGGTGGGTTTTTTTGGGGAGGGCTGTTTTTAAAGGCACATATTATATAAACCCAATAGACAATCCCAAATCTCTAAGAACAGATATACACAGAACACTTCATAAACCACATTTGGGCAGACACTGTGCACTATATACCATGCAAGATGCCCAACGCGCCTTCCAAGAAAAATACCAGCACTGACTGAACACAGGCCAAGGATTTTCTCATTAGCATGCAGAGAGGTTAGGCAGGCACCCAGCCTTTCCCCCTTCTGTTTTCCATTTACAGAGGCAACCACTCCTAGGCATGTTATACCTAACCCGCAGCTGGATCTTCTACAAAGAAATAGTTGTGGTTTGTGCCTGACTTCTGCTGCTAAACTCCTGTCTGCTTGGAATTTGCATGATTTCCTCTGAAACTGGTGAGGTTTACCATAGTATGACACTGCTTTTCTTACAGTCTAACTGGGAACGGTCATCTCAGGCTGGTATTAAAATGGCAATTTCAGTGGTGGCTCTCCTGTTAAAGCCATTATCTAAATGCATCACTTAGTCTTTGATGGCAAATTGTTTATATAAATAAGAGGGAACAAAAATAGCTAGCAAATACCAGGAGATAATTGTGTGGTTAACCCTATAAACGACAGTGTTCTGAGAACAGCAGAGGAATTTTTAATAAACTAATCACAAACAGATTAATAGCTTGGAAAGCAACAGGGGATTTTCTCTTCCACAGCAATGGGATTTTCAGCAGACCCAAACCAGTTCTCCTCTAAGTAGAAATGTGCTTATCTAGATCCATCTCCCCTGATCGCCTCACTTCTCACCATAAAGGGAAATCAATATGAGGACTTGTTATTCAGAGGAGCCTCAAGAGTCAGGCACTGTGATTGCACCTTTAATCCTGCAGGAATCTATTTCCAACAACTACATCATATTGAATGCAACAGGCACATTGTTTACAGCTGCTTTGTGAAGCCTACAATATAGGGAAGCATATAAAACCAGATATGGGGGATCCAAGCTGAACTCTGGGTCTGGCTTTTAGTACCAGTTGCACACTAAATAGCGCAACTTAGTTGCACTAAAATAATTATTTCTCAATGCAGACCTCTGTTATTAGAGAAAACGCTTTGATTCTCAGCACAGTGCTTATGTATGGATTTCTCCCGCAGCCTTTTGGCTGACCAATTAGGAAAACAAGGGCAGTGTAAGGGTTAAACATTGATCTCCAGGTTCCCCTGGCATGGTATGGAGCTGCTGCTAATAACCCTGGTGGCAGTTTCCTGAGCTGTAACTCACAGCATGATGAGAACAACTTCTGATCTGATGAAAATTCCTCCCTGACTGCAGAAAAACACCCCATCGTTTAAAAGTTTTGAATGTGCTAACAGCTAATTTATTAAAGGGACTCCTGCAGTGTCCGTGTTTACAGGGCTCAGGCTGCACACAAAGGAAAGGCCTATTCGATGCACATAAGGGGAGCAGAATCGAGCTGTATTTTTGGAAAGGCAGCACAGTGTGCCAGAAGAAGGGCTGGACTGATGAAAAGAACAGTTATGATGTTGTGCTGAGACTTCTTTCAGCCTTGACTAAAAAAAGAGCACAATTAGGGACTGGAAAAGGAGAACAAATAAGAATAAGTTGTATTTTAGAAACACCAAAAAAAGTGAAGCGAGTCCAGGCCAGATTTGTACTGAGAAATATAAAACTTTCCCTGGGTGCTTAGTTATAGGAATGAAAGAAAACATACATGAGGGCAGACAGAGTTGTTGGGTGTTTTCTTTTTTCAGGAAGGTTTATATGTTTCCCTATAAATCCCAAGTGAAAATCTCTCAGCCCCAAAATCTCTGCCCCCAAACCAGTGGCATCAAAAAGCCAGGAGGGAAGGGAGGCTGCATTTTCCAAAGACTTCTGCTTTTAACCAACAACATATCTTCCACAAATTTTAAATGAGACAAATCCCCCTATCTTCAGTACAAAAACGCCATAACAATTTTAGCCATCTCCAATAACAATCCCATTCCTTGACGTCTCCCTCTGACAAGCTGTTAGACTGCCAAAGCCTGGAAATGGAAGAAGTCCAAGAAAGAATTAGGTGTCCTCTACATCTAACAACATTACCTCATTACCTGCAAGTAAATATTAGGCATAGCCTGAGTTTAGAAAATAAGGCTAAGTGCAAGGAGCACCTGGTTAACAAGTTAATGGGCTAAATAATTCTGTATAATTTTCAGACACTAACACTTATGTGTCAGATTTCCTCCTCCCAGCTGCGTCGCTTTGCTGAGAAGTATTCATAAAATAATCTTAACAACGTCGCAGTATTCATTTAAATTAAATATATACTTCAGCTTTCACTAAAATACCATTGTTAGAAGCCAACCACTTGATGTGTTGTCAAGTGACACTCTAATGAGCATGATTTTTAATGGGCTTTAAGTAGCTGAGGGGAAAGAAGTAAAACCACAGATGAAACGCCATGCTGAAGGCCTCAGCATCTATTTGAGGTACTGAGCTGCCCCAGAGCCTCTGATGAAAATACATGTTTCTGTAATGAGTACGCATACATCAGTACACCGACATTACATTTTCCTTACTTCATTCAGCCTATTTTTAAAGTATCAACTTAAAATATATTCACAATATTTTTGGCTCTGTGAATAAATTTACATATTAAGTAGCACTAATTATAAGAAGCAACGTTCTGTTCCTTGCTACGCACAGTCCATACGATCCACATATGTCTAGATTAACACCTTTCTCGCCTTGGTGGGGCCCCAAAACACATGGTCTGTTCGGCACAGCACAGTCATGTGCAATGGGCTGGCGTATGCACAATTTATTCCTCATTCAACTTTACTTTTCACCTATCTCTTCTTCTTTTTAGCCCCCAAGTCTCCTTGAAGGAAGAAGCAATGTTCCTAAATCCTTTAGGGTCTACTACATTTAATCCTTTCTAACTTCCAAGCTTCATCCACTGAAGCTCTCCACTCACCCAAGCTGTGATCCTACCACTGTCTCATCCTCCCTTCTCCTTTTGAAGCAAGAAGGTCACAGTGTGTTGGCTAGTTTTATCATCTGAAGTACTGTTAATATCTCAATTTACCTCAAAAGGCTTAACAGTCATCTTCCATCTGTAGTCTTCCTACGAGCGGGATATTTCTGTGCCTCTGTCCCAGCCTGTTTCCATGTGCAGCTGGCTAGTTCTGCCTCACTTGCCCTATAAAGAGATTTATATCCAAGTTCTTCACCAAGGACCCATTAATCTCCTGAGGCTGGTCAGCAGCCTTTTCAGTGCTTTTGTTCCCTTATACCAGAAAGGCACCTAAGCAATATTTTCTGCCACCGTTCATCTCAGCAAGGCACAGTGGGAGGGTTTTAAGATGACCTTAATGTCCTGTTTCAGATGTCCTGCTAGCTAAGCCTCATTAGTGCCTGGCATGATCGACCACGGGCAGATGTGGCTCCACGTTGCTATCAGGAAAGCCAAGTGACGATGCCCCACAGTGGGGATGTTGGAAAAAAGAACATCAAGTAAAAGGGACAAGAGTAAACTAGTTTGGAGCAACACACAGAGAGCTCACAGAAGAGGATTAAACCTCAGGGTTTAACTGATTGGGGACCAGTACGCTCTTACAGTACTGTTAGAGCTGTGAGGTTAACTTGAAGAGTTATTTTGATGCCAGTGGCTGCTCAGCCTATGGGTCAGGGTGCTTTTGCAGCTCTGGATGCACATACACCTCCTACCTGTTTGCACCTCCACTGTGATATTGGCTGGTAGCACAGTGATGAGCTATTGGGCTCATCATCTCATTTAGTCATCACATTAGTGTCTCTGTTAAAAAGCATCCCATATCACCCTTCTGCTGTTTCTTATATCACTCACAATATTTTACTTATAAACAAGTCTGTGACATTTGACATGAAGTCATCCATGATCATAAGGTACTGAAAATACATTAAAAATGACCCAAAGTGGTCTTTTTGTGCATGTATGTATCTTTTGCAGTGGTGATAATATGTATGCAGTGGGCTGAAAGGCCAAAACTACTTTAGTATCTGTTTGCAAGAGGCCAGCGAACTTCCCTTCTGAAGGTTAGGTATTACATTAAAGTAAGACAATTCCTTATTTATAGATGACAGTCCCTGTAAAAGTCACCACAAAGCTGGAGGAAGAGGGAAAGATATTTTATACATTGTTCTTTTAGAATGTAACAAGGGAAAAAGTCTTGATGCCATAAAGGACATTGCATTGCAGAGGGAACCATCCTGTTGAAACACACAAGTCCAAACATGCAATCTGGTCTGAGGTCTCTCTGGAGCACAGAAGGAGCATCAGCATAGGTTAAAAAAGCTGTGAGGCACAGAGAGGATGTGAAGTGCCCCAGCCCTAAAAGCACAGAGCAGAAATGTGAGGTCCAAAGACACCTTTGGTGTTGCTGAGCACAGTGCAGCACCTTCAGGGGCTATGGGAAATTGGGGAAGTTTTCAAAGAGCACTACAGAAATTCCCCTGTCCCCTCCTACTGCATCACCTCTGAGGACTATGGCAGCTTTACCTGATAATGAATGCATCAATCTGAGATATTCAGAAAGCCTGAATTATTTCAAAGCACTGATCTGATCTGCCTTCAGAAGCTCTGGTACCAACAAGCTGTTTCCCTCCATGCATTTGATTATTTTTCCTAAGCTGCTGGAGATTTTGATGGCAGTCATGAACCAAACTCCACAACAGAGTTCAGTCCATTAAAACAAATTAGGCAAAGAAAAAAATCTCTCCATTTATTGGTACCGCATTTCCCAGTTTGTCCCATATATTCCAGGAAATCCTGGTCATCATATGGACCATAAAGGCTAAGCCAGTCACTGCGTGAGGATGTAGACATCAGCCTCCAATGCCAATAAGGAGCCATAATACCAAATCCAAAATGGTTAAAGGATGATGGTGGGGTTTGTGTCTTCTGGGGTTTTGGCTTTTTAAAGTTCTAGCTTTTGTTGACCCAAAAGAGGAAAGCTCCATTAGAAATCAGTTACTTCTAAAGATACATTTAAGTTCAAGAGTCAAAGCACCGAGTTTTGACAGTCTCAAGAAATGATACTGCTGCAGGATTTGCAAGCAGGAACAGCAGCATCTCTGAAGAGACATGTCAAATTTGTTTGCTGGCTAAGCCCAGCAAATTCTGTCATCATTTGGTACCACAGAAATGTCTGTTGGAAAACAAAGAAAAGCCTTCTCCCAACAGTTAAAGAATATTTACAGATTCGTTACTTATGCTCTCTCTAATCGTCTGCTCTAAGCCTGTGGCTGGGGACTAATTACAGTAACTACTGAAAAAACAAAACATATATTATGCTGTGTATTTTACTGAAAATGTACTATAATGAATTTCAGTGGGAGAAGACAAACGGGGTATTTAAATCTCCTGGCAGAAATGTGTATTTATGAAAATCAGCCCCTAGGATGAGGCGATGAGAAGTATTTTTACCTATAAGCTAACAAGATTTCCAACATATGTACCCCTGTAGGTCAAATAACAGACAAAAACCCCATCCTTGGGATGAAACTTTAACATTCAACGAATTGCAGACTAATTCCAACCTGACAAGTACAAGCTGGATGGAACAATTATCCTCAGAAACAGTAATTCTGAAATTTAACACTGCTTTAAAAGACCTATGTGCAGATGAGACACGGGTTTCTAACATTTTCTCTAGTTTTGTTCCTTTCTTTTTTCTCTCCCATAAAACGCAAGCAGCACCTATTCCTCCTGATTCCTCTGTTTTTAGAAACCTATAGCATCAGTTTGGCCATGATCGATGAAGAGAACTTGCAATTCATAACATAGTGTTGTCAAAATCTTTATGCCATACCTGGCAGATGGCTCAGTACTTAAACTAGGAACATCAATAAACACAGCAAAGAGCTGTTCTAAGTATGGTCCCAATCCTTCTAATGTACACAGTGCAGTTCCAGCATATGCAGAGGACACCTGTGAGATGCTCTTGCTTGCCGCAGCAAGAAGCTTGGCATGCTTGTGGCTTCCTTTGCTTAGATAAGCTGAGCTGTTCCCAATGCAGGTGAAGAGGACAGGAGTGGGAGTCCTAGGATGCCTTGAACCCCTCTCTTTCTCTATAGGGATGTGTTTGTGAGGCACCTGGTTGCATGTGGGTCCCTGAAAGAGCCTTCTCCTCAGGTCAGGACTCACTGATGTGAGCTGCATTGCCCCTATTTCCTCAATTCATGAGGCAGCTTTTCTGCACAAACATGGTTTCTTTGCTTCTCTTCAGGCACCAGAATGAACCCAAATTGTTACGCACTTTGTCCACGCGAACCTGGGAAAAGCTTCTCTTCAGCCTCTGTGCTGAGTTGCATGGAAAGGAAGAAGAACCTACTCCCCTGTCAGCTGGATGTGAACGTGGAAAGACCAGGTGGTTCTGAAGTGAGGCATTACAATAAGCAAAGTCCCTCCTTTTATCTTGTGCATTAGAAAAGAAGAAATACAAGAAAACCTGAGAATAAAGTAGGAATCGCTTCAGCTTTCCTGCATAGAAGGGCAAAAAGCAGCTTCAGCTACCAACTTCATTATTTTTGCAGCCTTGCAACTTACAGCTCAAACAAACTGCTCTCAGTTCTAACATTTGTTTCTGGTTTCAGACTAGTAGAAATCTAATTTCCTTCTCCCCAAGAGCAAATGTCAGCACAAGCGGGATCTGAAATTTGTTGCTTGACACCTGCAGCAAAGAGCTAAATTGAGAGTAATATTTCAAAGAGGTACTTGGGAGGTATGTGCTTAAATTTGGTTAACAGACAAGCAGGCTGGTATATGTTCCTCCTGCATACCGCCTCTAAAATGTATCCCCCGTCACCCTGGCTTGACCTAAGGCAAAGGAAAGGGAACTGCTCGAAGTGCTCTGATTGGAACCATGCAGGCCAAATTCAGCATTCTAGGGAACTTCATAATTCTGGCTTCAGAAATGAGTGTTACGATTTTACACTTCTAAACACGCAGGCCAAAAGAGCCCGCCTAGCTTTTATATCATCTGCTGCGTTAACAGTAAAAACAGCCTCCAACTAAAATTCATGTCTGACATTTGTGATTCAGGATAATTCCAGATCAAAATCCTGACTGCTATTCGCAATCAGCATCCCCTTCTGCTCTTACCCCTGCTTTGTTGTCTACATTTATTCACTGCTGCAGGCAATATGCTTCTGTTTGCAGGAAGAAATCAGCAACCAATACTGGCTGTAAGGGATTTCTGGAGAGTTTATGACTCTCATGGACAGGTATTCAGAAATTCAGTATTTAATGTAGCAAATCAGCATATTCTGTAGTGATATTTATTGATATTTATTCTAGCTAATCTGTAAAATACACTATTCCAAATACAACACCTGGGCAGCACAACATGTAAGCTACTTCTAGTTTGGTAACCTACTCCAGGCTCGGAAGCAGGCTAACTCCTGTCCAGATCTGACTCCACATAGCAGAAGCTCACAAATTCACTACATGTTACTGCTTAACTGGTGTGGTTTGTATAATCCTTCGGTATAATTGCTTGGCACAACTCTGGAATTTGTAGTACAGATTTTCATTTTGGGAATGGGTCCCTGAGCTGGAAACTGATAATACTTGAAACTACACTGGCAACTTCTGTTTGAAGATGTCAGAATGCATTTACAGTCATCACATCAGCCTGAATGGACACGTATCTTATTTATACCTAAACAAATACACACTTTGGACAACTGAGTCACGGAAATCTAAGCAGGGAAGCAGGTAAGATTAAAAGTCAAATTGCTTGGCTTTTTGTCCGCTGCTACAAACACACCAGTATGAGAAAGTATATGGCATTTCAACTTAATAGAGCATAAATGATGTAAATTAACATTGCTTCCACATTGCAAAAGAACAAAGCAAAACTAAAAGGATGCGACAGATCTTAAACTGATCTGCAATTGGCATAGCTCCATTAAAGTCGTAGGGACCAAGGGTGCAATCCGTTCATCTTCTACTCAGAAACAGCAGTATTTGGCTAACAGTTATTAATAATTCCAGCGGCGTAGAGTTTCTTTAATCTTAAAATCAAGTGATATCTCAAAGGTGCTAACTGGAAGACTGCCATTACTTTCAGCGCCCTCTTC